AGAAACCCAGAAAGTTCTTTCAATCCTCATCTCGGGTTGAACCAAGCCACTGCTCCAACGACGAGTTGGAATGTGTTCCACTGAGCTATAGCGACACCAACCGAACACAGAGCACCTAGCCAGGGTGGACGACTCGTTACTACGAGCGTCTTTTCCACAACCTCAAGTCGTGGACTCCGGACAAATCCATTGGTTAAAACGTGCTCGAGGAGTTGGGTCACGTGCCCATCACCCGAAGGCCTTATTACCGCACAAGCTCAGCCGACTGTGAGCCTTGATCACTGAGGGGGGAAACGACAAAAGTAAGGCTTAAACATACATTCTATGACTGGTTGATGTCCTATAGTTGATCCTAATCAGTAGTTTAGAAGTCCCTGGTTTATTTAAACTCCATTTCAATTAATATTTCAAATATTAATATTCATAATTTTATTAACGGTAGCCCACGTAGGTATGCTACACCAGTCTGCCCTAAACTCGTAAGCCCCATGTGACAATCATCATTTGATTTATATGAAGTTTTCATGATGTGGTCCACTCTTAACCCCTTAACGCTGATTGTCGCAAATTCACATCACACATCTTCCTTTCAGACTGCAGCTGAGATATCGTTTGTATTCCCCTAATGCCTGTTTGTGCATATTCTATACGTACCTGGGAACCTTTTGCAAGCACCGGTTTCTCGTTTATGCCTGTTGTCGCTAATTTGCATCATACCTACATCAAACCTGCATTTATATATTTTCTATGTTCTATAGACAAATTAACAATTTCCACTTAATTTAACATCAACCTGAAAGCAAATGAAAACAGAAATAATATTTTACATTTTTTTTATTGTAAATAAATCCAGTCATCAAGGTTGTTAAAGTACTGGGACATGACGTATAATTAGCATATGTTCCCTAACGCCATGTAGCGGATACAGGAAGTGATAACTCCTTGGTGTGGCTTCCAAACGTGTGAAAATTTAACGCTGTGTCGACCGACAGTGGTATGCCCTTCATCACTGCTTGCAGCTTTAACATGTATTTGGTCTTCAAGCAGAGGTTGGCAGTACCTTTTTCTCTTATACGACATAAGGCCCCAACATCTATCATTTATCAATTTAGATGGTAAGGTCAACCTGTAGCCTGAGAAGAAACAAGTGGGAAAAAAACACATAGTTAAAAAAGCATATTGCTACGGGAACATGAAAACAACTGAAGGTAACCCAGATGAAAATATGAGCATCTTAGCATCTGGATTATGAAGCCTAGACAGTAAGAGGCCACTGTTAAGAGCAGTTGTTTCCAAGAAATGGGGTGACTGAAGGAGCAGCCAAAGATTTGTTTATTTTCATTTTTATCGCTACATTTTTAATATCATTTCAGCAAAAAAAGGTAGAAAAAAGAAACATCAAGTCACCATATAAAAAAACATGTTGAATGTGAAATTAAATGTGACATAATGCACACCCATGCCATTTGCCATAGTAACACATCAAAAATTGTGACAACAATTAAGGAAACATTGGGCATATATTGGTTGGGCAATTACACTACTTCCGATACTACCTATGGGTATTGTAGAAGTAGCCTAAATACACCTATACTCATACAGCAGTGTACTTTGTAATATTTTGTAACTGTTTGCTTAGATAAGATTAAATATTATTATACACTGAGTACTTCATGTTAAAATTATTGCCAGTCAAGGTAAAAGATAATAAAACATACTGAAATTAAAAAACTATTTTCCTATTGAATTTTTTCTGAGCAACCCTGTCTCCTAGAAATTACATTTGTATACAACTCATTTGCAACATCAAATATGTTTGATATAAACATCACGCCAGCTGGCTTCTTCCTGTCAACATAATGAGGAAATGTTGCTAATCAACATGTGGGACAAGTTGCAAAAATGTTTGTATCAGTAAAATGTTCACAGACAACATTGTTTTCTGCCAATATGTTCACTATTGCTGTATAGTACATATAGCAATAGTGAACATTATAAAGTACTTTTCATAACCTTAGATTAGTCTTCTTATATTCCTTGATGTGTGTGTGTGTGTGTGTGTGTGTGTGTGTGTGTGTGTGTGTGTGCGCGTGTGTATGTGTGTGTTTTACTGATACATAAACTCATATCTTCGTTTCAGCTTCTAACTTTCCCCTGTTCTTATCATGTTTCTCTAATTACCTCTAGTTTGCCTCTGGAGCATGCTAAATTATCCATGATCAAACACTTACACTCTCACTCACACACACAGACACAGAAAGTGTAAGCTTATTACACACTCCAGTGTAATCTATATCTTTTTTTGTCCATTTCGTCCCATCATGGTTCTGCTGTGGCTGATGTTGTAAATGACTGTATGTCTTGTTGTTTCATTCCTACCTGCAACTCATATCCTGCCTCTCTGTCTTGGACATATGTCTACTACTGTGAGGAGAATAGGCTGTTCACATATAAATGTGAGCTATGTCCAGCCCAAAGACTGTGTGTGTGTGTGTATCTCCTTGTATGTGTGTGTAATCACGTCATATTTCTCTTAAGGTGTGTAAGCTTGTTGAGGTGTTTGTGTGTGAAAATAGTGTATTTTTGTTAGCCAACTAAACCAACTTATCATGTGTGTGTGTGTGTGTGTGTGTGTGTGTGTGTGTGTGTGTGTGTGTGTGTGTGTGTGAGTGTGTGTGGCTAAATAGGATTTCCTCAGTGTATGAAATATGAAGGTGAGTTCATCCAGGTGGAACACTAAGCAGTGTGAAAAAAATTACAAAAACAGACACTTGGGATGACAAGCCTTCGTGTTCTTCATCACACACACACACACACACACACACACACACACACAAGCATATAGATTTCCCATGGTCAGTATAAGTCTGGTTCTTCAAAGAAAGAAAGAAATTTGGCTTATTTCAGATATTTCTTTCACTCTATATATTACTCTGTTCATTAATGTTTTATTGCTATTGTGCATTTTGTTCCCTGTACATAATTTGTAAATTTTAAGACATATTTTATTTGTTTCACATAATTAATATTTGTATTTATTGCATAACAGTTGGCTGCCTTGCACAAATGTGCCAAACACCATTAGACAAAACAAAAATTAAACCAAATTAATAGTTTTCCTTGTATTCTCTCACAAACAATTTGTTTTACATTGTGGAATATTTTTTCTTGTCTTCCACCAGCAGCAACAACAGTTAAGTTTAACACGTGTTGTATCCTTTTGCGCTGCATTACTTGATACCCTTGGATCTCTCCAGACAAGTAGTAGTCATCCCAGTGACTGGGATATGCTGACCTGGGGAACAAATGTGTTCCTGGGGGTGCACATCAAGGGCGACCTGCCATAGACTACTAACACCACCTCCCTTCTCAAGAGGGCACAGCAGCGCCTTCACTTCCTGCGACGGATGAGAAGAGCACGCCTGTCCTCGCAACCTTCTATAGAGGCGCTTCCTGACTAGCAGCCTCTCAGTCTGGTATGGCAGCTGTACCGCCTCCGACCAGAAGGCACCTTCAGAGAGTGGTGAGGACGGCAGAGAAAATCAAAAGAATATAAACAGGATCTATACTGGACTCGCTGCCTTAGCAGAGCTACCAAAATAGTGAGAGACTCCACTTACCCCGCCCATGGTCTGCTTAACCTCCTGCCCTCTGGCAAATGCTACCGCTGTATGGAGTGCTACACTGCCAGACTCACTAAGAGCTTTCTCCCACAGGCCATCAGACCACTCAGTTCCCTTTAACAGTAGGCCTACACAAACATGCCAGTCTGTCAAGACTGCTGGACTGAACAAATATATTCATCTCCTTTAATCTCACAACTTCAAAAATGCTGCTACTTTTGTGCAATAAATCAACGTTTCATTATTGGAGCACTTTATTAATATTACTACTGTCAAGTTAACATTACTGTAACTCTGTGCAGTAATCCAACCACTGTGGAATGTTTTTTCAGGTCTATACGTATTTTGTTATATGTCTATGTTTATGCAGTCTGTTATGTCTACTTGTTGTGTATTTACCTATTTATGTGTGTATTTACCTGTATTTATGCCTATATTTGCACATTGAGCTTGGAGAAACGCAACTTAGCTCTTAGCTCTGCTGTGCACTCCTTGCTGTATGGTCTGAATGACAACAAAGTTCACTTTGACTTTGATTAATAACTCCTTTTTCGGATATTGACTCACTGAGAAAGAGGACAACGGCACGTTGCTGTGGGTGTCAAGATGCAGCCTGTGCTCAAACATAAATTTGCCGCTAAAACTGCACGTTACGCATTACACACCCATCCACCACCTTCACCTCCACACACTGACTTTCTGCCTGCCTACATAAAGGACACACCACTTCCTACATTGGCACTGAGCATTGGCATTTAAACACAATATCCACTCCGGGTGGCACGGTGGTACAGTGGTTAGCACTGTCGCCCCACAGCAAGAGTGAGTTCAAGTGAGTGGGTTCAAACCCCGGTTGCACCGGCCTTTCTGTGTGGGCATCCAAAGACATGCGGACGAGGTCTATTGGTGACCTTAAATTGTCTTTAGGTGGAGTGTGAAGTGGTCTGTAGACTGGTGACCTGTCTAGGGTGTACCCTGCCTTCCGCCTGATGGATGGACAATATCCACTCCCATGCTGTATGCTACTGCTCTCTCCCCAGACTGTTACTCTGACAGCTCTGGGGGCTTTATGCATTTAGGGGAGGGTATAAAATTAAACTGTTGGACAAACCTGTCACACTCCACCATAATCTGTTACATGCATACTGATGGACACCTTGCTTGTTAAGCTGCAGAGTGTCATGTGTTAGAAATGTTATGTTCCTCTTTGACTGATTGATGTGTGTGCATACGGGTGTAACACAAATCAGCCGGCCCTTCTGCTAATTGTTGATCTTTACATATTTTGCAGAAGCAAGAAGGAAAAAAGGAAATTGAATTGAGAATATCATTACTCCTCTTTGTGTGTATTCTGACTGTTGCTTTGTTTCTATGCAGGAGACAGACTTTGGACCGGACCACACTACTCCTAATATAATCACTACAGCCACTGTACCGCTTCTTCTTCTTGCGCTGATGTACACGGCCGTCTGCTCACCTCAGAATTATGGAAATCCTCATCACTGACTGGTTCGTTTACCTCACGATAAGTGGAGCGTAAAGATGACATCTATACTGTTTTCTTCTTCATTGCAGTGGTTGTTGAGAGGGCCTTTGTGAGGAATATTTTCCATCTTGTGAGGAATATTTCTCAGATTTCCCTTTACCAAGCTGGAGGAAACTGATGGCTACTACATTTCCACTGGATGGTTCGCACTGCCTGGATTTTAAAAGGGATCATTAGCAATCACGACCCTCATCTGCTCCGGAGTTACCCACTTGCTACCGCCTCTGAGCGAATGTGATTTTTGTGTGATTGTGTGTTTGTGGTTGCATCTGCATGGCGAAAGTGAGAGAGAGATAGAAAATAAGGATTTTTTTTTTTACTCTGAAAGGACAAGAGAGTACTCAAACAAGTTGAAAACAAGGAGTAGCCACTATGTCCCAGTGGAGGGACCGTACGAAGACTGGGTGTCGGCTACTTCAGACTACCAAGAGTGGGAGAAGGATGATGGGATACGTAGGGCTTGTAGGTTCCTTTAGTGCCAGCTGGTGGGTGTCCTCTCTAATATGGCTGGGACTGCTGCTGCTGCAGGCACCTCCGGCTGCCGTGTCGGCTCAGAAACTCGACGAGAACGACCCCGTGGTGACCACCGTTTACGGCAAGCTGCGTGGTGTTAAGAAAGAACTCAACAATGAGATCCTGGGTCCTGTTGTGCAGTTTCTGGGCGTCCCGTATGCTGCTCCACCCACTGGCGAGCGCCGCTTTCAGCCACCTGAGCCGCCGGTGTCGTGGCCGGAGATCCGCAATGCCACACACTTTTCCCCGGTGTGCCCTCAGAGCATCGTGGAGGGCCGCCTGCCGGATGTGATGCTGCCAGTGTGGTTCACCAACAGCATTGACGTGGTGTCCACATACGTCCAGGACCAGAGCGAGGACTGCCTCTATCTTAACATCTATGTCCCCACTGAGGATGGTGAGTTAGCCTGCGGGCCCAGGGCAGGATCATTGTGGGGACAGAAGCGGGAGGGGCAGAGGGTTTTGAACCCACGACCTTCTGGTAAAGAGAAGAGTACGTTGTCGGGGTGTGTTTTATATACGTGAGAGTGCATTTCTGTCTCTGTCTCTGTCCCTGTCTGTCTGTCTGTCTGTCTGTCTGTCTGTCAGTAGAGGGAAAGCATGACCTTGTGCATGTTTAATGTGCATGACGCTGTTTATAGCACATGAGTGTGTGAGAATGGTTTTGTGAAAGAGAGAACAGTGTGCGTGCGTTTGTGGCATCCATTGAGCCCAATTTATCTTCTTTGCACTCCACTCCATAGATGCCTCAATCTTCTTCCTTCCGTAATGCATCCTTTCTAACCTAGTCTCCTCTTCCACCCCCTCGATGATCCTCTGACTCCTTCTCCTCTTATCCCCTGCTCCTCTTTCTCCTGATCCCCTTATTTTCCCTCCTCTGCAGACTCCCTCCCCTCCTGTCCCTCATGTCTATAGCTCATCATAGGCTATTGTGCTCTGCCACAATGGCCACAGTTCATTAAACAAGACAGTCGTTGTCAAGATCATCACTGATTGATTTGGCCGACTGACTGAATGACTGGCTGGCCGACTGATAGACTGAATACTGCGCTGATTGAGCTGGTGTGATTCATTCTTTCCCTCTGTCTTTATGTCTCCCCTCCACTCCACAAGTCTTTTTCAGTCAATCAGCTTTGTGCGTGTGTGTGCATGCAAGCTCCTGTGCGTTGCGCGTCCAGGGGCTCCATGTTATTCTTTAGTCTTTTATTCATTTTGCAGTCAAAAGAATATCCAAGGAATGTGCCAGGAAACCGGGCAAGAAAATATGTAGACAAGGAGGTATGTATGATCTGAATGCAAACTATACAATGCCACAGAAAGAAGAAACAGCCTGAAAGTAAAGAAAGATAGAAAAAAAAAAAGAGCAGAGAGCAATCATGAGATCAAGGTCTACAAATTATTCAGGTCTCGACTCAGGGCATTTGCAGGTTTGTAGAATGCTAAATTTAAGAGACAGGTCCTTTTAAATGCCACCTAGAAATGAATTTAATGCCAATTTTAAAAACCAAAGTAGGATATCCCAGCTGCCAGAACCAGTCTTCCTCTGACTAAACATACCTAATGCAGTTCAGAAATGAGCAAAGACCTTTTCAGATTTGTCAGACTCGGTAAGGGCCACTAGATATCCTGCAATACCAAATTTGCAACTAAATCCCTGAATCAGCCATGTCATTTGTAGACCTTGTGATGGCGGGATAATGGTGAGGTTGTGTTGCACCACACTCTCTGATGGTTCACTGATGTGTGCTCTCGCTGGTCAGCACGATGGGGAGATTTGATTGGCTGCCAGTCAGGGGTCAAACGGTGTGTAGTAATGCTTGTAGATGTGTTAGGAGGTAGCAGAATATTAGATCAGGCACACTGTCACAAACACACACACACACACACACACACACACACACACAGTGATGTAGTTGTATGCAGTGTTAAACAAGATGAGTTCAGGCTGGACCTTGACTGTGTACTCTCCATTAAAAGAAAGCAGAGCCGGGGTCAGGTTGGCTCGGGCTACTGTATCAAGCACTGTTTCATCAAGATAATGCCTTCCTCCTCCTCTCTGTCTTTCTCTCCCTGTCTCTCAGCCTATCCCCCTTCTGGATGTGTGCATGTTCTTTTGTGTGTGTGTGTGTGTGTGTGAGTGTGGGAAAGACAGAAAGAGAGAGAGAGAGAGATGCTGACAGTGTCCTTGATAAGGTCCGGGTGTTAATGTCATTGTCTTGGCAGCGGCCTGCATTGTCACATAGTGTGCATTCCTTCTCTTCTCACTACACATATACATGTAACCTCTAACCTCACTATTCTTCTTCTCCTTCTCTTCTCTTATCTCCTCTTACACATACAGATACACAGAGGGGAAATGCATTTAAAGTGTGAGATAGGAGACTCTTACACATTAGTCACACAACATGGAGAATCATGATTACAAAACCAAGACTCCGAGAATCGGTTGTGATTTTTATAAAAATCCGAGAAAGCTGTAACCTTGCACACAAAAAAAGAGAAGCAAGATGGCTTCCGTGGCGTTGTTACAGTCGAAGCTGCTTTGCTTTGCTGTTTCTTTGGCTTGAGCTTGGCTGTGCACTGAGCTAACATATTCTTGTGGAATGTCAGGGAACCACTCAACTTTATACAGAGGACTCCCACAGTATGCACTTCATTAGGCAAAGCTCTATGCAGTTAGTTTGCTCTTCTATGGAGTAGTCGATAGGTAATTAAAGTGTATGTACATACATTTACTTAAGATTAATGCATGAAGGCCATTATGTGTACAGTTTGTAATGTGGACAATAATTTCTGTATGTGACTCATTTGTATTATGGGATTCCGTATCAAACGATGAAACGTGAAGTGTCCTTGGGTAAGATGCTGGCTGTGCCATCCATGAATGTCTGTGAAAGATTAGTTCCTTTCTGATGTGCCTTACATGGCAGCCGCTGCTGTCAGTGTATGAATGTGTGTGAATGGGTGAAGGTGACATATAGTGTAAAGCGTTTAGAGTGGTTGGAAGACAATGAAGGTGCTATATCAGTACAGTCCATTTACCATTTATTACAGACAAGTGACGCATTAAAGGACAGAGTAAGAGCAAGCAACTGCTTACAGAGCAGTGACTGGTTTGGAGTATGTAAATTATGTGAATGATATATTATGGCCTTAACAGCTACCAGAGCCCATATCAATCAAACTGCTAAAATTGAAATGTTGGATTTGAGAGAGAGTTAAAAAACAAACAAAACACTTTTCCTTTACATTTGCAGTAACAGTCTTTTATTTAAGAGACCCTAGAATGTTTCCTAGGTTGGTTGGTTAAGTGGAGCTTGTCACAGTTTTAGAAAGACAATGCAATATAGCATTGGTCGTTATAGATCAAGTTGATGAAGCTTTACTTATTGATCAGTGGGGCCAGATGAATCCCATGGTCAAATTTCATGACATCTAGTTAAAATTGTAAGAGCAGTAGGAGAAAAAAAAAGAAATGTTTTGTACTTTACCTCTGTCCTGATCTAAGTGTAATCTGTGCCAGCCCACACTTGTATTGGATTGGCTGTTTCCTTATAGAGGCAGAGCCTATTTCTGTGCGTACATACAGGAATTCATTATCATTATCAGTAACACAGTAACATGAAATGTAGTCAGTGGTGCATGGTGTGAGTGGACAGATCATGTTGAGTGACTGGGTAATTTCATGGCAAGATGTGTGCAGCCACAGTAACACATTTGGTTAACAGGGCCGGTTTGGAAGAAATCTAATTATTATTAGTTAGTGTGGTAGGGACTCAAATCAGCCCTGCTCAATCAAATCAACTGTGTTCTGTATTTTGAAAAATGGTTTTTAGATGTTGTTGCGTCAGAAAAAAAGCTTTGTCCAAATGGAATCTGACGTCCTTGAGCTGCAGGTGCAGAATCCCCATGAGTGACTATGTGGAGCTTAAGATTTCATTTCCTTGAGCGGAAATTCTGAAACATTGACGACCCATTGATCAATTCTTGACAAGGTTGAGTAATTATGTAGGCATAGAAAACGGACGGGGGACCACTTACAGTATATAACATATTTTGTTCTAATAAATGAGGAATTCCCTCTGCAAACTAAACATGGCAGAGTTCATGGAGAACAAAGAGAAACAAGGTGAAATGGGGCAGCAGAAAGAAAGCCAGTTGTGGGCAGTGATGAAGAGCAAAAAGAAAAGGTAGAGTAGAGTAACATTAGAGTGAGATGGACAAAAACAAAAACCAGGACAAAAAGAGCCAAACAAAAGAGCAGCGGTGAAAGTGAGTGAGGCAGAGTGTAATTGCTGTGGGACTCATCTCTTAATCCTCATAAGGACTATTGTACCGTCCTGTGCCATGCTGGTTCAAAGAAGTTTTCTGTGGTTAAAAGTAGTGTTTTTGATGTGTCTGGGATGGTGTACAGTCATTAAGTTATCACACGCTGAGATAGTGGTCTCTGTAATGAGATCAGAGATAGCAGCGCTGTGGTTGGTCTTCTCTCTCCCTGAAGCATGCATTCACAATTCATTTGTAAAATTGAAGTAAATGCAGTAGGACCTGTCGTCTCACAGGTGAAAGAAATGTCTTAAAGTGACATAAAACATGCTTGAAAGGAGGAAAACGACATTTATGTTGCGATCATAGACACAAGCATATCAGGGAAAATTATTGCTGCAAATCTTGTCATGGCTCTAGCGGATCTTCATATTTCATGTAAGGAAATTTCAACAGCAAAATGGTGTAGCTTATGCTTCAGTAATAAAAAGACTGAGGATTCTACAGCTTGTTGAATGTCATTTATTTCGAATGACATTCTGTAGCTTGTTGGTAGTGATGCAAAATATACATTTACATGTTTACAAATGCTTTAATGTATGATCCTGTGGATCTTTGTAACTGAAATTATTTCTGTATTTTAAAAAAAATGTTTTTTAAAAATCATACAGACCAAAAAATATACAATATACACTGATAATTGAAATATTTTTGTAAATACTTGAAAAAACAAGAGCAAAAGACCAGTAGCTATATACAGATAGCAACATTTGCACACGATTTGTGATAAACTCATGTTGTCACAATAGTTCATCGGTCACAGCCTTGGATCTTTGAGGAGTAAACTTTTCTAAGCAGATCTCAAACTGCTGCATGGGTCAGATGCAGACTGCATGTATAGCTACGAGAGCTATATGTATTTTGCTATGAATATCACAGTTCACAGTTAGTAACGGGTGATTTGATGTTCACACGTCTGTCGTTTCTATTTCAGTATGTCACTTTCTCCACCATGCCGTCTGCAGATCAGTCAGGATACCTTCCTTCTTCCTGTTCAGCACATATTTGCTCACTGGCATCCCGGATCTGGCTAAATCTCTCCACTGTAGATGCACTATCCACAACCTATAA